TAAAATATATTTTATTGATTTTGTAGAGGGAGGGAGAGAGATAGTTAGAAACATCCATGAGAGAGAGTCATCTATCAGCTGCCTATTGCACACCCCCTACTGGGGATATGCCCGCAACCAAGGTATATGCCCTTGACCGGAATCGAACCCGGGACCTTTCAGTCCCCAAGCCGACACTCTATCCATTGAGCCACACCGGTTTTGGCTGGACATGGTTTTAACTCTCCCTAAGAATCACCGATTACCCACAGTTCCAGGAAGCGGACCTTTCCCAAAACTTTTCCCCCCCTTACAACATTTATAGAATCTCTGCTCCAGTGAACTGGCCAGATAACAGAGATCCGCATGCGCTGATCTATAGGAGTGAGCTGCAGGAAGGCGGCTTCTTGGGTGTGCTGAGCACCCAAGGTTATGGGAAGAGAAGATGCTAGAAAGACCAGTGCTCATGGTTCCTTTTTAAAGCCTCTGCTATGAATGGATGGGGTGCATATCAGTGTTCACAAACTTTTCTTTCTGTTTACCAGAACCAACAAATAAAATATAAATGTATTTACACTGTGACCTGGCCACACTCCTACATACACACACACGCACACATGCACGCACCCATACACACACACACACACACACACACGTTAAATAACGTTTCACAAAACAGGCTTACAGAGGTCATACAGTACCAGGGCCAGTAGCAATACCCAAGTAGTCTAACCTCGGAGCCTGAATCCTTTATCACGGTAATGTAATTTTTTTTTAAAAAGAATGTGCTTCTAAAATACCTTAATAAAGAAATTTTTAAAAAGGAAATAGCTACATCAGCCATGAATGTGATGGTTGAAAAATAAAACTGCCAGCGATTGGCTGGAAGTAAGTTGAAATACTGCCTTTTAGATTAAGCCCGGTGGTTATCACCTGCTTACAAATTGTGGTTCAAAATTGAGATGAGATGCAATCACTATTCCCAACAATTTCTAACCTAACTTTTAAAGACTTGCCTTGTGTACCAGACCAGATGCATAGAATCATAGGACTATACTTCTTTATTATTTTACAATCTAGTCTATAAGGAGTGCAGAAGGAGATACTTCAGTGAAAAGAAGAATACGCTATAGACAGAGATTCCATGGGATTTGTTTCATGCCCACCCCACCCCCAGCCCCTCCCTGCACTGGGGCCCTCTTGCTCACTCACCTTCCGGAGGGTCCCGTGTGCACTTGCTCCAGCACTGGGCTGCTGCTTTAGGACACAAGACCCCAGTTTTCGATCTGTAGCCGTAAAGTGTCTTATTGTATTTTTAGAGTTCAACTTTCTTATTTAAAAGGAAAAAAAAAAAAAAAGACATCACCTTATATTCAAGTGAATACGGTACTTGCCAGAGCTCACTCTTGGGCCCCTTGCTGTGTGTCTGCCTGTCTTGAAATTCTAGGAGGGCTGAGCACAGGCGGCTTTCTTCAGATGCGTGTTTGAGAAGCCCACCGCGGAGAAGGCGTGCATCTAAGATATAATAAAAACGGAAACAGAACAATATTCAGGAACCAGCAGCTGCCATCCCCCTCTCCCGTTGTTTCTGGGCCCGATCTGATGGCCCTGCACGAGTGCTGGAACGCAGTGAGGAGGAGAAAGACGGTTCAATACAGACGGCGCCTTCATCAGATTTCATGTTTCAAAGCCAGGGGCAGGAAGCATTGGAGGGCACACAGCGAGACACACTGACGTGTAGGACATAGGTTCCTAGCAGAGGGAGAATAAAATCCATACAAATAACGGAGCCTTGGGAACGTGACATTATTTATGTACTAGAGGCCCAGTGCACGAAATTCGTGCAAGGGGCTCGGCCCTCGCAGCCCCAGCTTCATCTGAAGGTCATCCGGATGGTCGTTCTGCTGTCGGTTCTAATTAGCATATTAGCTCTTTATTATATTTATGAATTATTCTTTAATACTTGGCTGAATACACACTTTATTTATCCTAGAAGCTATACTAAAATATTATGTCAAAAGAAATCTGACTTAAAGTATAGACTTGCAGACTTCCACATATGTATTTACGAAACACTTACCTCGTCTCGGCCCTCAAAAAACCATGAATTTGGTGTACATACATTGTGCCGAACTGACTGCCAAAAGACTGTCTTCATCAATAAAAAGGCAAATACATATGAACCCATTTGCCTTTCAAAGTGACTTCGGCCTACAATACCCAGCTCTCGGAATAGCTCTAGGTCGGAAGCGGTGGGCAGGAGCCTCTGAGAAGAGATGGTGTGAGATGGACCGGTACACAGAGCCGAAGGCGGGAGGGAAAGAACGCATCGCGGAGGAAGAACACGCTGCTGCCTGGTACTCCCGGCAGAGAGGTGCAGCTTACTGTGTCCGTGCCACTCGCTGGCCGAAGACGCACAGGCCTCAGTGGTGATGAGCTCAACCAATGATGGGAAGGAGAGAGACCCCCCTGACAGGAAGTATTGGAAGCAGAGGGAAGTCAAGAGATGTCTGAGTTGTGGTTCAGACCTGAGGATGAACTGGGGTCTGGGGTACTCTGAAAACATATTAGCCCATTTTAAAATATATAGATTTTATTGATTTTTTACAGAGAGGAAGGGAGAAGGATAGAGAGTTAGAAACATCAATGAGAGAGAAACATCGATCAGCTGCCTCCTGCACACCCCTTACTGGGGATGTGCCTGCAACCAAGGTACATCCCCTTGACCAGAATGGACCTGGGACCCTGCAGTCCATAGGCCGATGCTCTATCCACTGAGCCAAACTGGTTAGGGCAGATTAGCTCATTTTAATGCTGAAGTGTGGAAGTAGCGTCATCCCAATAAATAGATACTTACCCCTAGGGCAAGCATCCAAGAAGCCAAGTTCATACTAAAGCCAGGGTTGGCCTCCTGGCCCGTGGGAGCTGTATTTGGTTTTTTCAGGGGCAGAGGGTACAGTAAACTCAGTCACATAAGACCTGGGTTCATGTTTCCCTCCATTTCACTCGGTGTAAACTAAGGCAACAGAGAGTGACCAAGTTGTCTTTTAATCTGCCTCATAGGTTGCGGTTAGAAATAAGACTCTATTGGGTGCTAAGCAAGTGCTTACTATGGAACGTATAAGTGATATGATTCAAATACAAATGAAATCATAAACGGAAGTTCCTGGCTTCAATTCCCGCACAAGCTCTTTACCATTGAATTAAGATTTGGGGGCCAACCCAGCCAGTTAGCTGGCAACCATGGGCATGATTTTTTCATACTTTACCTAACTCTTAACTATTTTAGTATGAACAGGTCACTACCTAAATGCTAGCCATCTGATACTGATCATTTAATTATAATATAACCTTTTCATGTATTTCTAGAAATACCATTTTAAATAGCACAATGAGCTATAATTAGGTTAGCCTATATGTGGATTTTACCGTTGTAATGGGGAAAAAGAGAAGGAAGAAAATACCTAATGAAACAAAAGAGCCCGTAATCTTATCTTTTGAGATTTTTGTGTCTTTTGCATTGTTTTTTCATCCAGAGAGGCATCAAGATGTGATCCGTTTGACAAGAAATGTTAAAAGTCATGCCTCCTAAGATAACACCTTGCCTGAGGTAGACTGTGAACACGTCCTGAAAGTGAGAAGAATGTTTCACATGACATGAGATACTCCAGGCCTGTGATGGAAAGCAGGGTCCGAAAAATGAGAATCCCACCCAAATACTTCATTAACTTATTTATTTATTTATTTATTTACTTATTTATTTATTATTGATTTCAGAGAGGAAGGAAGAGGGAGGGAGAGAGATAGCCATGATGACAGAGAATCTTGGATCGGCTATCTCCTGCAAGTCCCCCACTGGGGATCGAGCCCACAACCCGGGCATGTGCCCTTGATTGGAATCGAACCTGGGACCTTTCAGTTCAAAGGCCAATGCTCTATCCACTGAGTTAAACCGGTGAGGGCCCAAAAGAGGGTTTTGAATAGATTAGGTGAAATGAAACAGCAGAGAGGCAATTGGAAAACTTAGGCCTTATACTGTAATTCAATTGTACTTTAAACACAAATTGAAGAACCCTAGCTGATTTGGCTCAGTAGGTAGAGTGTCAGTTGTAGGCTGAAAGGTCCCAGGTTCGATTCCAGTCAAGGGCAAATGCCTGGGTTGCGGGGTCAATTCCCAGTAGGGGACGTGCAGAAGGCAGATGATCAGTGATTCTCTCTCATCATTGATGTTTCTATTTCTCCCTCTTCCCTCCTCTCTTAAATCAATAAAAATATATTATTAAAAATAATAATAATAATTTTTTTTAAAATATACTTTATTGATTTTTTACAGAAAGGAAGGGAGAGAGAGATAGAGAGCTAGAAACGTCGATGAGAGAGAAACATCGAACAGCTGCCTCTTGCACACCCCCTGCTGGGGATGTGCCCGCAACCAATGTACATGCCCTTGATCGGAATCGAACCTGGGACCTTTCAGTCCGCAGACCGACGCTCTACCACTGAGCCAAACCAGCTTCGGCAAAAAAAAAAATAATAATAATAATTTAATGGCAGTTAATCTGTGTGAGTCGCCACAGTGCTTGGATTTGAGATATGCTTAGATTATTCTGCCTGAAAATGTTTGACTCTCTTCATCCACAAACACACACATACACACAACATACTACTTACTGTTCACACTCATAGCTTCTCCAACTACTGGTGGTTGGTGCAATGATAGTGGTAACTGAGGAAAGAATTTTATTGCTTTTTCAAATCAATCGAGAGACACGTGAAATCAACTTCTTGGGGCAGAGAACAGTTAATAGTGTGTTTGTGGAGCAGCTGGTGCTTAGCCATTCTGTGGCTTTCCCCTTCACCTGAGATGCCAGATTGAATTTGGAGCCAAATTCGCATGTTCGAATCTCATTGCCCAGTGGGTTGAGTGTAGGGAAGTGTAGAAGGAAATACTGTGCCCATCCGCTTTCGCTGGCGAATCCTCTGTACTGACTTCCTGAGAATCTCCTGTTTGCCTTCCCCAGGAATGGCGGCTCTGGATAGAAAGGCGTCGGGGAAGATGGGAATGCGAGCTGTCGTCTATTACATGACTACGACCATCATCGCCGTGGTGATTGGCATCATCATGGTCATCATCATCCACCCGGGAAAGGGCACAAAGGAGAACATGCACCGGGAAGGCAAGGTCATACAGGTGACGGCTGCAGACGCCTTCCTGGACCTGATCAGGTGCGTCCTCCGAGCCCATCCCCTCCGGTCCGTTCTGACCTCCCAGTCCCTCTTATCTGGGGGAGCTAATCAAGCCCTGAAAGAGGGGTCTAAATGAACCCGCCTTGCTGGGCTTAAAATGGTCACATCTTTGCTTCGTTCTAACAGAACTTAAAATTAGGCTCCAGGTTCAGTCTTAGGAGGAAGAGGTAAGAAGAGCAAGGAGCGGACAGAGAGGGATTTTGAGAGCCCTGCTTTTAGGATTTAAATCTGATCGCTCAGTCCCCTCTCAACCCTGCAGCTCCCCTGGAATGTTAATAATTCTTTACTTACTGTACTTTTCTCAAATCTAGCTTTTTAAGGCTTTTATTCTAGTGTAGCCTATTTATTGGACTCTTCTAATTCAGAACCTGAGATCTATATTGTCATTATTATCATTCATTACACATAACCATTTCTTTCCAAAAGGGACTTTAGCGATCATCTAGTCATTCCTATTTCAAGGTCTTTTTTTGGTACTGTTTATGAGAAAGGAGTTGGCCAAGCAGTAATAAAAGGTTAAAGGATGACTTCTTTAGCATTGTTTTATGCACTAACCACACACTGATTATCACTGAATCGTATCTAATATTGAAACAAACTTGGTGATCGAGTTGGTCTTACATGGGACTATGACATATATGTCAAAGTTTAATCCTGGAGCCCTCTGCTTGCTCTCTCTGCCCTTGCATCCATCAGGTCCTGGCAGGAAGCAAATGTCATTTTTCAAAAGGATCATTGAAAAGGGCTTGCACTGGTGCAGGCAGAGTTAAGGGAACTTAAGAGGGATGGTGTGGCACCAGGGATAGGAAGCTGTTTTGGTTCTACCTCAAGTCAGGGATAAGGGCAGGAGTGTTCCTGGGACTCAGGAAGAGCTGTGGCAATTTTGAAGGGAGGGAGCTGCTGCTCGACCTGGTAGAGAGAGAGCTGGAAGAACATGAACATCCACTTCTCTCTTTCCTACTCGGATCTTTCAGAGTGCCCCTGGACAAACCCAACAGGAAGCCATAGGCAAGAAAGCTCATGTGCTGTGGTCCCGGGTCAGCCTCCCAGGGCACAGAGCAGCATGGAGAGTGGATCTAGAAGGGCGAAAGGAAGGTATCCCAGCACAGGCCTCTACATTCCCACCTGCTTAGCATCCCCCACTTACCGTGTAGCCCCACCCAGACTGTCGACCCCAAACTTAGTCGTTTCCTCCCTTCCTTACAAACTTATTGGCAAAGTAACTGGTTTACCAATCCTAGATACCAGCCCAATGGGGATCCCAATTGATCATCTGAAAAAAAAAAACTCCTACAGATTTTATTTCATATGCCAACTCAGCAACCAGATCTGGGACAGGCAGATTCAACAGAGAGCTGGGGAACAAAGGGCCTCTTCGGCCATACTTCTCAATTCCTACTATGGGTGACTTTGTACCATCTGTATGTAAGCGTGACTCAGCCCCACTGGACCTCTTCTTGAAAGTTAATTCAGGGAGTTAATTGCAAAAATCTGAAGATAACTAGCTACCCTATAACATTTCATATCAAGTTGTCACCCAATTGCTATCTCTTATTTAGTTCATACAGTTAATTAAGGCTTGTCACCATTTTCCCCCCATAACTATTTATCCTCAGGTAGTTTGAATTAGAAGTATTTTATATATTCTCTTTCAGTACAATTTCTATTCCTTGTTTGAACTGTTGGGATCTTGTTATTCCCAATCTGGTTGGTCCATCAGAGTACCATATGTTCTGCCCTTCCTGGCTGCAGTGGTAACTATGTGACTAACCTGTCCCCACCCAATCACGTGGCTTAAACATTCATCCTTCAATCTCCTGAACTCCCATTTCTCTTGAGGTGTGTAGAAGCAGAGCCATAGAGTGTCGATGGGAAGGGATAGGAAACAGGATGGTCTAGGCAGAAGGAAGAAAAGGATAAGAATTTATAACCTTCAAATATGACTTTGACAGCGTTCAACTGTTACAGTCTCAGACTCTACAACTGCCCAGGCAGGCCCTGTCTCCTTCCCCCACGGTCTTCAACCTTGGAGCTCTTATAGTTTAAGCCAATTTCCTCTTTAACAGATGAGTCTCTGAGACCTAAACGGATGCCAGGACTTGGCCAAGGTCACGCATCTGGTTAGAGACTCCTCCGCTAGTGTATTGCTCCTTATCTTCTCCCCGCCATAAATTCAAACACTGCTCGGAGGAAGTGACAGATCTTACCACAGAGGCCTCAAGGTCAAATGTTGTGGTCCTTACTCCCATTAGTCAACAGAGGAGCCTCAGAAGCGCCAGCAATTCAGTGTCAACGTCCCATCCCCCAGAGGACCTCTAGGAGGAACTCTTAGAGAACAAAATTCCACAGTCTGACCATGACAGGGCACCATACCAGAACGGCCATTACTGAATAATAACTGCGATGAACCAGAATACTTTGACAAAAGGCATTTCCATTCTCACTTTGATTCTTCCAAGGAACAGGGTTTTGATGATATAATGTCTGAACGAAGGACCCCATTGTCTGACAAGAGGACAGGTGACTTAAGTTTGGGACTTCCCTGAAAAATAGGAACTACGTGGGCTACACTTAGGGATGATTATAAGTCGCATTTTAAATCATAAAACCCACCAAAATCTTTCTCCTTTTCCATTTGCCGCTTTGCTCCATGCAGTTTTTCCCTTAGGCAGAATGAAAGCGTATTTAAGGCGTTAACTTATTATTTGGAAAAATTTTTCCAATGACTGTTATTTTCTTTGCAGGAATATGTTCCCTCCAAACCTGGTGGAAGCCTGCTTTAAACAGGTAAACACTCTACAGCTGCTAATTACCTTAGTAATTCCTCTCTGGCACACCAACATAGCGGGCCCTCTTTCTTATTTTATTTTTGTCCAAATCTCTACAAGAAGAAACAATTTCTTAACCAGATGGGAACGTACTGGAGCTTTCTAATGAATTTAGGAAGCAGGGGTGGGTCTTACCTTACTCCAAATGCTTATTAGTTGCCAAATACTCCGTGTCTTACATACAAAGAGCTTATTGAGCCTCTGTTATTTATAAGAAGGCCAATCAGGACACTCCCTCCCTCTTCCCACCCCCACATCCCACACACAGAAGCCCACCAAGCAGGCAAACTCCAATATGAAATTCATTTACAAGCTGTTTTAAAGGTTAGGGAGATTATTCAAGTTTCTGAATTTGATTTTTTTTAAATCATTGGGCCATTAAAAAAAAAAAAGTCTGCTAAAGGCTTATGGATTCTAAAGGAGTAACCATATCAGAAAGAAACGGAATCTTTATGAACTGAACGCCTCATATGTGTGATGGATGTCATTGTCTTCATTTCACTGGTGAGGCAGCCCATCTAGGATGACCCAGGCATTGTATGTATGACGGACACAAGGTCTCACAAGTAGTAAATGACAGCCCCAGATTCAAACCCACTGTATGGACTCCACATTCTGTCATCTTTCTGCTCCAACCATCTGCTTCCGAGGAAGGAGCATCCCCCCTGGAGGCTATAGTGAGCTCCAGTTCCTTTCAGCCTCAGATATCCAAGCAACTCTGGGCCCTATGTGTTTTGAATACAAATATCTTAATAATAAAAGTGTAATATGCTAATGAGACTGGACATCCTTCCAGATGAAGCTAGGGCTTCTAGGGAAGCCCAGGTCCCTGGTGCCAGAGGGAAGCGGCCCAGCAGCTGGGTGAGGGGAAGCCTACTGTTGCATGAATTTCATGCACCAGGCCTCTAGTATTTACTATTAGGGGCTACACTTCATAAAGTTCATTCTAACCTCGCTTGAATAAAAAAGGCTTTGTTGCCCAGATATGAAAAGGAAAATAATTAGACTTTCTGGGTTCAATAATAGTTCCCAAACGTTTTTCCAGATGGTGTCATTTTACCCTCGTTATAATTCCCTAACCTCTCTGCTTAGGATTGGTAAGCAAACAAAACAAGCTCCCAATTTCATGGAGGACCAAGTTTTACACTTATAAGCCACCCTTTGTTTTTTCCACCCTTTTTAAAAATTCTATTGACTATTTTTAATAGGTAATACATGCACACACTGCAAAATTCTAACAAAAAGCCTAAAAGGCCAAAATCTAACTTCTTTTATTCAAAAACAACTGTAACCATGAATAAAAAGCTCTTTTTAATCTGACCAGCCAAACCCAGTACTCTGGGGCTGGCTCTTCTAGTTAGTCAGCTGGCACTGGGGGACATAAAAAATGCTGGTTTCTGGCAGCACTAGGAAAGTGCTGGTGACTCGTGTAGATTTCTTGCACTTGGTTTTGGGTTCCATTTACAGTTTTTTGAAGGGGAAGCAAATGTATTTTCCCAGATCTGTTTCTGGTCTTAGGTCAGAAATTGCCTGTGGCTACCATTTCTTCACCAACATGAAGGCCAGGAATTCTGCTCGCATTAAAACCATAGAGGGATGGGGGCTTTAGTTGGTAATACATTTTATTTAGTAATATACTTGGCATCCCCTGTCTGAAATATTTATGTAGAATCTCTGGGGAAAGACCACTTTCTGAATAAAAGCAGAAATACCACTATGGACTTGAGAAGTGGGCTCAACTATTAATCGAGCACCTATTCTCAAGAATTGATACTCTCAGGGATGCTTAAGACTTGTTTGGAGATTTAAAATTTTTAATACCCCCTGAAATCTCCAACTGAGTCCAGTCGCTGAAGGACACTGTTATTGAGCACCATTAGCCGCCACTCATTTAAAATGTACATGATGCTCTCATATATTCTATTTCATTTGATCATCATACCAACCCTGCGAGGTAGAACCAGCATGGTTAGCTATCCCTGCTGCACAGCTGTGGAACATGAGCAAAAGGATGTTGATGATGTGTCCATAATCCCATAGCATGAACCCGTGGACAGTAAAGGGATACAGTATTGTGAATATTTGTGTTTACGGGGTGTTTTTTTTAAAGCTGTTATACTCATTTTATTAGGGTTTCTGAATAAAGCAAAAGCACATATGTATATTTAGTCAAACATCTCCAACCAGATATGTCTTTCCTATTATGATTTATTATGTGTATGTGTGTGTGTGAGTGTGTGCTGAGGAAGTAGTAGAGGTTTGTCAGAGATTAGATAGATAGATGATAGATACTTTCTTTTAAAAATATTTTTATTGATTTCAGAGAGGAAGGAAGAGGGAGAGAGAAATAGAAACATTATTGGTGAGAGAGAACCATTGATCAGCTGCCTCCTGCATGCCCCACACTGGGGAACAAGCTCACAACCCAGGCATGTACCCTAACCAGGGATTGAACCGCGACCTCCTGGTTCATAGGTCCACAGTCAACCACTGAGCCACACCAGCCAGGCAACAGATACTTTCTATTATAACACTATTATTTGAATGCACGGTAATATATATAATATAAAAATTGGACAACAGGAAAGTATAAAGAAGAAAAAATAGCACCTTTAATCCCTGCTGTGCCTTTTCCTTTTAAGTTTAAAACCAACTATGAGAAGAGAAGCATTAAAGTGCCCGCTGCGTCTAACGAAACACTCCTGGGTGCCGTGATCAACAACGTGTCGGACGCCATGGAGACGCTTTCCAAGATCACAGAGGAGATGATCCCCGTGCCAGGCTCTGTGAACGGGGTCAATGCCCTGGGCCTGGTCGTCTTCTCCATGTGCTTTGGCTTTGTGATCGGAAACATGAAGGAGCAGGGACAAGCCCTGAAGGACTTCTTTGACTCTCTCAATGAGGCCATCATGAGGCTGGTGGCAGTGATAATGTGGTACGTATTTCCTCTTGCGGTATATGCGATGTCAAGGTGCGTGTTGCCATCAGCATGGGTTCTGACTGAGGAAGATGCCATCAGGCAGGGTGGCCATTGCAATGATCTCATTCTGATAAGCACAAGAAAAGCAATGACTGTTTTTTTTTGTTTTTTTTCTGGAAAGGAAGATAGAAGCATCAATGATGAGAGGGAATCATTGATCGGCTGCCTCTTGCACACCTCCCACTGGGTAGCGAGCCCACAACCTGGGCATGGGCCCAGACCAGGAGTCATACCATGATCTCCTGATCTACGTTCAACCACTAAGCTACACCCGCCGGGCAAATCAGTGATTTTTCTGGGCGTGTAGTGGTCCTGAGCCCATCTGTAGGCCTCTTTTAATCAATTTGCTTCCCAGTTTTTGAAAGGTGTCAACTTTATCCCGTGCTGATGGGATCCCTCTCTCACTCCTCAATTTAAAATCTCCTTAGCTATCCCTGTAAGGCATAGTTATCGAGTGTCTACTATATGCCAAGCAAATCATGCCAGGCACTGTGGATACAGCCATGAAGAAAACCTGTAGGAATATCCTGGATCATGCATTCTTTTAAGGGAGACAGAAGATAAACAAATAAATCAACCATATGCTTCAGTCACAGGTGCCGTGAATAAAAAATAAAACAGCAGGTTTTGTTTTATGTGATGTGATTAAAAAGTGACAGGGGAGGAGGCATCAAATTTGCCTTGAAAAGGCCTCTGAGGAGGTGACCTTTTCCCGGAGTGACCTAGGAAGACAGCCATGCCAGGTGCCAGGGGAAGAGCATTCCCAGTAGCAGAGAAACAAACATAGAAGCCCCTAGACCCGTGGTCGGCAAACTGTGACTTGTGAGCCACATGCGGCTCTTTGGCCCCTTGAGTGTGGCTCTTCCACAAAATACCACGGCCCGGGCGAGTCTATTTTGAAGAAGTGGCATTAGAATAATTTTAAGTTTAAAAAATGTGGCTCTCCAAAGAAATTTCAATCATTGTCCTGTTGATATTTGGCTCTGTGGACTGATGAGTTTGCCGACCACTGCCCTAGACCACCAGAAAAACTGCCTCTATTTGAGCGCTGAGAAAGAAATGCAGTGCCTGCTGATGCCTGGGGCACTCCTGGGCAGTCGTATAGAATGCCAAGCCACAGCCTATAACAAACGTCCTTCAAATGAAGATGAGAGCAAGGGACAAAGGAGAAGGCTTCCTCCAAAAAGGAACATTGACCTTGAAGAGTAAATTCTCTCCAGCGGGGAGGAACCCTTTGACTGGCGTAACCTTTATTTTCAATCCAAAGCCCCGCTTGGCACCTGAGGCAGGAAGCCGTCCGTTTCTAAGACAAACACTCCCCAACATGACGAGAAATATTCTTGGTCTTTGTGGCACCGGAGCCCCAGGGACGTTCATTTCCCAGGAGTTTCCACAAGATGGAAATGAAAACGTGGGCACAAAGAGCGATCAGAATGGTGTCTCCACAGGAGCCCCCAAATGAAATCCCAGGGGCCCTCCTTTGAGATCCCGGCAGGGCTGGCAGTGGCCATTTATCTTCGTGTTATTAAAACGCCTGCACCTTTCACCTCTTTTATGAAAGAAGCCCATTCAAGGCCCGTTCCTAGCTGTGCATTTTGCCTGCACACTCAGCGTTGAGTTATTCGACATTTCTGCAGGCAGGTTGTCCTGTCATTCCCTGGCCTGTGTTTCTAACGGGCTTCTAAAGGCAGCATTGTATGCTTCCATCAGAAACGAGTTTCCCCCACTTCCCAGCAGCCCCCTCTCCTCGGAGCCCCTGCCTCTAGGTTCGGGAATGGGAGTTTGGTTGTCCTTGGCGGCCCACGTCGGAGGGAGCAGAATGCCGGGCTGCGGGTCCTTTAGGCCCCGGGCTGCTCCCACACGGACAAGCCATTCTTTGTCTCGGCCGTCCATTCCCACTGGGTCTCCGGGGAAAGATCCCCAGGGCAGCCGCCGCCTGTGGTTAATAATTACTTAATGAGAACACCTGTCACCTGGCGGTGGCGGAGACAGGCACGTTATTAATTCCAGCAGCTCGGAGTTTAGTGTGTGGTTGCCTTCTACCTGTAGCAAGTGGTACTGGTTTTCCGTTTGCACAGTATCGGCATCTCCTCTTAGGAGACATTTGCGTCCAGGAGTTGAAGCCGAATATGAAGTGATAGTGTGTCATGTGGAATGTGGGAAGACATAAAAAAAAGCGTCCTTGAATGAGAGTGCTGACTGCAGATCTAACACACTGACAGGCACCAATGGGCCTCTTGCTGTCGCTTAGGGCCTGGGCTCTGCGGGGGGAAGGGGTCCTAAAGGCTGGGTCAGGGTGGATTATGGTGGTTCCGAGCACTGAGCAGGGGCATGGATGGCATCTGAGGACCCGAAAAGGGACCCAGGGGTAGTGAGAATTATCTGGAAAAAAAGAGGCGGGTAACCAAACCTGGTCTTTTCTCACCCATGTTACCCAGTGGTCGGCAAACTCATTAGCCAACAGAGCTAAATACCAACAGGACAACGATTGACATTTCTTTGGAGAGCCACATTTTTTAAACCTAAACTTCTTCTAACGCCACTTCTTCAACATAGACTTGCCCAGGCCGTGGTATTTTGTGGAAGAGCCACACTCAAGGGGCCAAAGAGCCGCCTGTGGATCGCGAGCCGCGGTTTGCCGACCACGGCCCTAGAGAAGTTCTGAGTGAGAGGGAGGCCTGATCCCGCAGTGTTCATATTTAAATTTATGTCTGAAAGAGAAAAGAAGGCAGTTCGGTTTCTCCCAGGGCCAGCGCGGCCCGTTGGCGATCAGACTCCCACTGTCCCGTGTCCCCGCGCAGGTATGCCCCCCTGGGCATCCTCTTCCTGATTGCAGGCAAAATAGTGGAGATGGAGGACATGGGCGTGATCGGCGGCCAGCTGGCCATGTACACCGTGACGGTCATCATCGGCCTGCTCATCCATGCCGTCATCGTGCTGCCGCTGCTCTACTTCCTGGTGACGCGGAAAAACCCGTGGGTGTTCATCGGGGGGCTGCTGCAGGCGCTCATCACGGCGCTGGGCACCTCCTCCAGGTGAGCGGCCCGCTCCCGGCAGAAAACGCACCTCGGGCTGGACTGGGAGCCAGAATCCTGGGTTCGGGTGGAGGAAGACCTGGTGGGGTGGGCAGGTTCAAACCTCCAGGCGTAGGAATTGGCTTTTTCACTCCGGATGCTAGCCAGACCTACTTTGGGATTCAAGGAATGGCTGGGTGTATCCCTGTGGGGGCACCAAAGGGAATGGACTCTCCTTCCTGTAGAGCTGGCCTGAGGGAGAGATGGCATCACCTGGCACAGGCTGTGGCGATGGGAAATGATGACAGATGAGGCCTCACAGAGGGCCCAGAAGCGGGAGAGTTGCCAGGTCCTCCACTAAGAGGACCCCCCTGTTCCTGACCAGGCTCCCCTAAGTATGTGGGTGCTGACTCGGTTCCTTGAACAGGAAGGAACTCTGTGTCCGAAATACCACACCCTCAGGCCCGGTCCGCACCTTCAGGCTGCTCCGCTGACATGCCCTGTGTTCCTCTCCCCAGTTCGGCCACCCTGCCCATCACCTTCAAGTGCCTGGAAGAGAACAACGGCGTGGACAAGCGCGTCACCAGGTTCGTGCTTCCGGTGGGGGCCACCATTAACATGGACGGGACCGCCCTCTATGAGGCTCTGGCTGCCATCTTCATCGCCCAAGTCAACAACTTCGACCTGAACTTCGGACAGATTATCACGATCAGGTACCAGGAAAGTTCTACATGTTGTGTTAAGATTCACTTTCAATGATGAGACAGTGATCCCGGGATCAGGTGAAGAAACTGGTGGGAAGGCACTCGCCCATAAATGGGAGCAGGGTTTGTGGGAATAGGTGTATTTTTTATATTTATTTCATTTACTTTTTTAATTGCAAATGTGCACATTCATTAATAATGAAATTCTAATGATACAGAAATGTATAAGGTCAACCGTGAAACTTGCCTGCCACCATCACTCCCCACCGTGCTGTAGGTGGCACTGTTGATGTTTGGCGCATCAAGAATTTTGCTTATGCGGAGACATGCGCACCCTTTTACTTGTGGTCAGTGGAATCACACCACACTTAGCACTGGCCACTTGATTGATGTACTTCTTAGCATATCTTCTGTAAATATGCCTCACTCTTTCTCTTTGAAGAAACACCCAGAAATATGTAATGTATAGAAACAGAAAAATACATCTTTCTGCAGAATAAATAGCATGGATATTTCTCACTTCCATTATTAAAGGCATTTAAGAAAGGAAGTAACAGTGACTTCAGACAAAACTGCATTTCTCTCGTGTGGGCTCGGCCCCGCAAGCCCTGGAGGCTGGGAGGTGTCCCCTGTGTGCCGGGCCCAGGCCTGTGGGCCCATCGTCCCTGGGTGTCACCCTCACCCAGAGGGTCCAAGGTGGCTCAGCGCAACCTCCAAATTTTAGCCACAGGGAAGAAGAGGAGATGCACAGTCGCTTAGTTGCTTTCATGCATGTCTCCTTGGCCAGCAGTGTGTCTAAAGGAGTCCAAGGGAGGCTGGGAAATGTAGTCTTCACTCCGAACAGCCACACACCAGCTACTAATCCCAATCCGTGGAAAGGGCCAATGTGGGGGAGCCATGACTAGTCTCTTATCACTTTATCAATACTGTACACCTACGTAAGACGTAACTACTTTTAAAGCATGTTCATGTTCTCACCCGCCTATCAAATAGGTCTTTAACAAACTGAGCCCCAGGCAGGACTATGTACCTCACAAACCAGGTCCACACTGTCTCCATAAAAAATATTTATAGTGCTACAGAACCTAGTAGCACCATTGATAAATCTGTGGTTTTTCTCTGACCTCATTAACCATGCAAGTTCAGCATGTTTACAGTCCTCCACTTGGACAGAGAAATTCTTGGAAACAATTTGTTCTTGAACTACACAGTATTTTAATTTTTTAATATATTTTATTGATTGTTTTTTACAGAGAGGGAGAAAGAGTTTAAAACATCGATGAGAGAGAAACATCAATCAGCTGCCTCCTTGATACATGCCCTTGACCGGAATCGAAGTAGCTCTGAGACCCCTAAGTCCGCAAGCTGATGCTCTAGCCACTGAGCCACACCGGTTAGGACTACACAGTATTCTAGACCTTATAAAATATTTCCAGGTACGTGAGTCGTCTATAACCACCAGTTTCTTCATTTAGCAATGGCAATCATAATGGGACCGACTTCTTGATCTCACCCAATGAGATCAGCCATGTAGCGTGTCAGAGGGCACCCCGTCAGCCCTTCAGAAGCGCAGTTAGCATGATGGCGAGTTCAGCGGGCTTCCTGCAGGCTCACGGTGTTTTGAACACCCGCCCGCATCTGTCCGCTGGGCCAGCCGGACGCTGCATGCTGGGTGGTGCAGGGCCCGTGGGGAGGCGCGAACCAATGGTTTCCGTTTGGGACCTTCTTCCAACAGCATCACGGCCACGGCGGCCAGCATCGGGGCGGCCGGGATCCCGCAGGCGGGCCTGGTCACTATGGTCATCGTGCTGACCTCCGTGGGCCTGCCCACCGACGACATCACGCTCATCATCGCCGTGGACTGGTTCCTGTGAGTACCCTGGGCCGCCGGCCCGCACCCACGTCCTCCTAGGGCACGGGGCGCCCTGTCCTCCTAGGGCACGGGGTGCCTGGCATGCCTGCCAGCAGGGCTCCCCCAAGGGGGCGGCCAGGCCAGCCATTAAGTTGTCTTTATTGCGTGAGCCCGAGCCCCCGACGCCATGTGCGTCCAGTCCCTCATCGGCCCGCGGGGCCCATGTGGCTGCCGCCCGTCTCACCCCATAAAGCCACCCGGATTGGGAAACCCGCGGTCACAGAGCCAGCACGGCCGCAGGCTCTCCCACATTGCACAACCGTCCCCGCGCTGGCCGCCCTCCCTCCCGTGCTCCCCATCCCAGCGGCCCAGGCAGCACACGTGGTCCCTCTGAGCCCAGCAGGCCCGGGGACAGAGCTGGCATCCTGAAGTGGGTGTGACTTTGGCTCTGGGGAAGGTGCCCACCAGCACCCTCCAGGCCCAGCCCTCTCCGTCCCGGCCGACCTCCTCCGCCTGTTTTCCCTCTGAAGTCCCCGTGCACTGGCAGTGTGGCCTCCCCGGGGTCCCAACGTGAATGCCTGCCCGGACACAGTCACACAGACTGACGTCATCAGGTCTGATGACCACAGAGGCCCTCTGGGTGTCCACGGCAGGATGGGGGGGGGGGAGGGGGGCGGGGAGAGACCAGCTGCAAACATGAGTTCCCCGTCACTCGGATCTGTGTTCACAACCGGGCTCTGTGACACTGATGGGGCCGGCTCCCAGCCACCTGGTCTCCCCCATGTGAAATGGGGACGGGAATGGCATTGACCCTCCATGCTCCCGGATGCTGTGGGGGTTCAGGACAGTCGCCCCACAGCCAGCACTCAGGACCCCCAACACGTGAAGGTTATTGGGGACTAAAAAGGCTTTTTGTGTTGTGGGTCCTCTCCATTCATACACAGCAGGTTAGGGAAAAAAAACAACAACAAAAAACACAGAAAAATCTAAAAATGACTTCATCTGAAGGTTACAGTAATAAATTCGTTCCGTGTTAACATGCTTAACCTTTTTATGAGAAAAGTCGTTTTCCAAACCAGAAATGTCATGGGAAGAACGGTATCATTTCACATTCCACAAACCACCGCCATGCCTGGCTTTCGTGCACGGCAGCTGGGGTCTCCCAGCAGCTTCTGGATTCAGTCAGTGGTATCTTTTGTGTCGCGTGTGGTCTTTGCAAGATGCTGCCAGACCTTCTGGAGGAGATGAGAGTGAAAAGGGCAAATGGCCTCCTCGCATTATTATGGAAATAGTTTTGACCTCAGGGACGCCCAGTGGGTCTCTGGACTACACTTTGAGAACCGCTGATGTGAAGGAAGGGGAGTTGTAGGAAAGAGAATCAAAGAGAAATCTTAAATAAAAGGAGAAAGGGAAGGATCATTCCCCACTATTGATCCCCTAACAACTGAAAATTAATCACCTATAGGTCCTCATCATTTTTTTAAAATATATTTCTTTATTGATTTCAGCGAGGAAGGGAGAAGGAGAGAGAGATAGAAACATCAGTGATGAGAGAGAATCATTGATGGGCTGCCTCCTGCACGCCCCCTACTGGGGATCGAGCTCGCAACCCAGGCATGTGCCCTTGGCCAGAATCGAACCTGGGACCCTTTAGTCTGCAGGCCGATGCTCTATCCACTGAGCCAAGCTGCTAAGGTGGTCCTCATCACTTTTAAGCCATGATAACGGTGACGTACAGATGTATCGAGGCGGTTGGGAGATACACCACGCAGGAATTTAAGAGATGCTTGCACACTTGCTGGGGGTTCAGCATGCGAGCTGGAGCCACCCGATGTAGCCTCACTGTTCCTTCTCCCCACCTCCCCCAGGGACCGCCTGCGCACCACCACCAACGTGCTGGGAGACTCGCTGGGGGCCGGCATCGTGGAACACTTGTCCCGCCACGAGCTGAAGAACCACGACGTGGAGACAGGGAACTCCGTGATCGAGGAGAACGAGGTGAAGAAGCCCTACCAGCTCATCGCCCAGGAGAGCGACGCGGAGAAGCCCGCCGACAGCGAGACCAAGATGTAGACCGGCGGGAAGACGTGCTCTCTGAGCAGCGGGGTCGGAAACCCCTGACCACACGTGTCCATCTCGTTCCAGCGTGTCCTCCCCGCCAGCCCCATGCTCCCTGGTCCTCCCCACTCCGGTAGGGTCTGCCAGGGCCACTCCAGCTCCAGGGAGGGCGTGGCAGCGGCCAACGTGTTCCTCCCACATCCGAAAGTTTCAAGTCTTTTCGTGTTGGCCTTAGACAGAAGGTACCGGGATAAAAAAAAAAAAAAAAAAAAAAAAGGTCCTGATCAGATTTTGCAAGTATATGAGACACACAATCCTGTGAATGTGCTATTTTTATAAGTTAAGGAGTCAACAAAGAGTAGGCTAAACACGTGCTTAATTCGACTTTCCAAAAAGTCCCTCAGAACACACTTCAATTTTAGGATCAAAACAGAACAACTTGATAAACTGCACTTGGCTTTCAGTTGGACGGAAGGGTTTTCCCCCCTTTCTGTCCTGATTGGTGTTTCTGTTTTACCAGTAGCAGGACCCTATGAGTCCATACCTAGCACAGCTGTGAGGAGGTGCCCAAAGTGGCGTGGCCGTGGGCAAGTTACGTGTTATCTCTAGGCCTCAGTGTCCTCATCTGTAAAATGGGTGAGTTCCCTAACCGCCTTCGCGGTCATGGTTACCCGGACATCCTGTGGCATCATGGCCAGCCTGTTCTCGATCTCCCCCTGGGAGCATCCAGGAGCAAGCATGTCCCATGGAGGTAACCAGGAATGAGGAGGGGCAGGCTGGGTGCGGGTGGCCAGGTCCCGTGTACACAATGTCAGCTGCACACGTCACCAGGCCAGAGGAGGCGTGGACTTAAATCGCCTCACTCAGTTCTTCCCTCTCCTGCCCTCCCCCGGGCTGGGCTGGGCTGGGAAGGATCCTTCCCACCAGGCCTCCACTGACGCTAGATTCGTAGAAACTAAAACATAAGACTAGCAGCTAGCACGGGTGCTCACGGCCTGACTGTGGAACAGGACAGAGCCAGCAAGGGGAGACCATTCTAAAGAGGATTTTTAAACACAAGGTTATAGAGAGGTCGTCTTTAAGGAAGGATTTTCTAATGAAAGAGGTTCTTTTTTTTTTTTTTTTCTTTTCTTAACCAGAAACGCTTTTTCTCTTCAGTTCAGAAACATTCCCCAAGGAAGTCTGCATATCAAAATATGCGATTCCTTCTTCTGTGTTTGAAACAAGTCACATGAGTGAGCTCTCTCTCTCTCTCCTCTCCAATGGAGGTCTGTGAGCTGGGTGGGTGGTCTCTCCTTTGAAAAGGTTTTTGACTGTGATCAAAAGGCCTTGGAATGAGGGAAACAAGATGTTTCTTTGTGCTGGAATCCCACCTACCCACCCATTCAAAACCTTCCGCTGGCGTGGGGCCCCAAGAGGAATGGCAGGCGAGGAGGCGGGAGGAAGACATGGTCAATGGGGTGCCAAGAAGAAAACCGCTGGGCGTTGGTTCAGGCGAAGCAGCGCCTGGGTTTAGAGATTAATATTTCACCCCCTGGGCCACACCCCCTGAGCCACACCGGGCAAACACAGGGAGTCGGAGCTGTCGGACTGCGCAGGCGGTGTTGGAGCTTCGGATCGGAAATGGTGGAGGGGGGACTTAGCGATGCTAACAGACTGAGGACCTAGACGTGTGTCCTCCGGCGTGCACGTCGCGGTGTTTCTGTGTAGCCCCGAGCACTGTGTACGCGTAACCGCTAACCTTAGGCTGTGGAGGAGTGACCTTCCTCGTCCAGGCTCTCTGTGGGGAACACGCTACGGAAGTGCCTGTGCGCAGATGTCATCTCACCTGGGTAGAGCAGACATTAGTCACATCCAGTGACGTGTGACGCGACGCGATCACTTTTGTACACTAACCATTTCTTACCGAGCGCAAGGCCCCTAGGCAGAGCCGCCCGGGCGGGCGGGAGCCTTACGTTGTAGATGTATTTTCAATAAAGAAGAAACTAGTTTTACAGGACACCTGTGCACGTGGTGGTTATTCTCCCGGGAGGAAGACAAGGGCTCCTTCAGGAAAGGGGGGCCGAGCTGGGGGCAGGTACCTTGCAGAATTGTTGTCTTTCTTTTTCGAGGTAAAATCTGTATTCCGGGCCAGGCGGGGAAGCGGGGCACAGGAAAATAAGGAAGAACACCCTCCCCCTGCCCACCTCCCAGACCGGGGCTGGGAGCAGGAGGGCGTGAGGGAGGCATCGCTCAGACAGACCAGGCCATTGCCGTGTTGGCAGGAGGAACGTGGAGTGCCACCACCGATGCTTCTGGAAAAAGGGATTTCCTGTGTGGCCCTTTGTGAGAGCTGCACGCGGGCTCAAGGAGTAGTCAGAGGCAGCCATGGTGCTGGTGCGCCGTACCCACCACCAGGAGGGACAGGACGGCTGGCCCCTCCCCATCGTGCCTTTTAGGAAATAAGTACTTGGCAGGCGGGGTCCTGCACGCCCAGGCCGGAGTTGTTTTAATCCATCCCTCTGCCTTCAGGTGGCAGCCTCGGAGGACGGGCCCCCCAGGAGGGGCCGCGAATCCCTAGGCCCCTGGTCGGCAAGCTGCGGCTCATGAGCCACATGGGGCGGCTCTTTAGCCCCTTGAGTGTGGCTCTTCCACAAAACACCACGGCCTGGGCGAGTCTATGTTGAAGAAGTGGCGTTAGAAGAAGTTTAAGTTTAAAAAATTTGTCTCTCAAGAGAGATGTCAATCGTTGTGCTGTGGGTATTTGGCTCTGTGGACGGATGAGTTTGCCGACCACTGGCCTAGGTCATCCACGCCAAGACTCCCGTGGGTTCGCGGAGCCCTGGAAATAAATCACGGGAGAGTTTTGTGCCTTTGCCTTTTTCTGGGGTAGAAATCTTTCATTTCCACCCGTTTCTCTTAAGGAACTTCGGACCCAAAAATGTACGCGCCACAGTTAGATTGGTTTATCCCGACTTCCCCCCGGCATCCGTGCTGGTGGAGCGGCTGGTGGGGCCTGGAAGGAAGCTGCTCGCCCAGGCCCCCCGGGGGAGCCACACGGGCACAGGGGGCACAGCTGGCCACGCCTGGCCCTGCTGGCCACGCCATCGGGAAGCCGGAAAAGATGAATGCCCTACCAGTGGGTGGGCTCCCCACTGCCCACCCGTTCCCTGACCTCCGCCCCACGCTGGCGGCCCCTGTGGAAGGCCGAGGAGGAGGCGTCCCTAAGGGCCCGGGCAGCTGTCCTGTGACTTAGATGCTGGGGGGAAGCAAGCACCCGTCTCTCTGCAGGGGAGCGACAGATCTGTTCGCGGGTGCAGCCATGGACAGACATCTCTTAGGTTAGCGTGTTTTAAATGTTTCTGATAAGAAAACACATTCCTGCCCTCACCGGTGTGGCTCAGTGGCTAGAGCGTCGGCCTGCAGACTCAAGGGCCCCAGGTTCGATTCCGGTCAAGGGCATGTACCTTGGTTACGGGCACATCCCCGGTAGGAGGCAGATGATGGATGTTTCTCTCTCATCAGTGTTTCTAACTCTCCCTCTCCCTTCCTCTCTGTAAAAAATCAATAAGATATATTAAAAAGAAAGAAAAAGAAAACACAATCCTGACAAATGTTTCAAATCCTCCACTTTGAGGAGTTGGGGTCCATGGGCCCCTGACTCATATGCTCCCATTCAGCACCACTGCCCCCCTCCCCACCCTCAGCAGGATTTCCTTCCCCAGACTGAAAAGTCTCCCTTTCCCAGAAAAATCCTTTTCGGTGAGTTTTCGCTTCCCCCGGAGGGAGGGAGCGGATGGAGGGGGCCTGCCGGCCGGCTGCGGGGAGGAGGGGGCCCACGCCTCCATCCGGCCCGCTGGGCGCTGACCCGAGGCTGCTGTCAGTCATCGGCCCTTCTCCCAGCCGGTGGTCCCAGAACTGGGCAACAATGCCCGCCTGTGTGGCCTGTTCCGGGCCCGAGCGGTGGGAGATGCCACCCGTAGGCAGGCCGGGTGAATGAGCCAGAGAGCGGGGAAGGGAGGGCGAAGGAAACTGGTGGGCCGTCCGTCATCTGTCTTCTAAAGGGAAAGGGGAGGTGAAGGATCTCTGGGATCAATGAGGGCGGGGAGGGGGGGCGATTCCTACAGTGGCCACCAGGGGGAGCTCGGAGCCCTTCGGGCAGAGGGACTGCACTGAGTGGCCAGATTATAATTATCTCTGAACACATAATAATCTGGCCACTCAGTGTGTGTGTGTGTATGTATATATATGTGTGTGTGTGTGTGTGTATGTGTGTGTATGTATAAATATATACACACACATACACACTGATATATATATAGATATATATCTATATATATATTAGAGTATTAGAGGCTCAGTATATATATATATATTCATGCACCAGGCCTCTAATACTCTAATATATTAGAATATTAGAGGCCTGGTGCATGAATTCATGCATGGGTGGGGTCCAGCGAGCCTGGCCAAAGAGAGGGGACATGGTTGGTTGGCCAGCCTGCCTGCTGGTTGAACTCCTGGTCCAGGGGACAATTTGCATATTAGCTTTTTATTATTGTATATAAGACAGTGGTCAGCAAACTGCGGCTCATGAGCCACATGCGGCTCTTTGGCCCCATCAAGTTTTTAACAAAGGCCAGCTTAGGAGCACCCTGATTAAGTTAATAACAATGTACCTACCTATATAGGTTAAGTTTTTAAAAAATATGGCTCTCCAAAGAAATTTCAATCGCCATACTGTTGATATTTGGCTCTGTTGACTGATGAGTTTGCCGAGCACTGATCTAGGATATACACTGAGTGGCCAGATTACTGTGTGTTCAGAGATCCTAACAATCTGGCCACTCAGTGTGTTTCCTCTGAAAGAGAACTGGCTGTGAGGGCCCATGGGATTCCAAGGTCTGCAGTGCCCAGGCTGATCGATATGTGAACACCATCAGGGTTTACAGTTCTCCACCGTCCCCGTCACTGTCTCCCTGTTCCTGAGGGTCCCCCTGCTTCTCCAGTCTCTCTGCCGCGAGCCCTTCCTTCCTGTTTCCCGGATGTGGGTATCAAGGAAGCAGCCTGGTACCACCTGCAGCTGATCGTCCATCTTCCCCAGGAAACTGCTGATCCGCCTTCAGTTTGGAAGCAGTGGCATTTCAGTGAATTTACACACAGGAGGAGGGGTGTCAATAAGATACGAGACGCCCAGTGAAATGTGAATTTCAGATACGTGCCAGTAGTGCTTTAGCATGAGGATTACATGTCAGATGATGTGCTACTGTACTTCCCCAAATACCGCATGGGACATCCTGGTGTGCTACCTGTTCATCTGGCCGCCCTTCACAATGTGAAATGAAGATTCGAGACAATGGGCGTTACAGGTGAAAGACTTTGTGAAGTTATTGAAAATAATCATCCCAATTTTTAATTTCCGCAGGTAAAATAAATAAAAAATAAATAAATAAAAGGCTTTCAAAGGCAGCCCAGATCCGGGACGTGCCCTGCTCTGTACTTGCTCTGGAGCCGTACCCGCTCACGGTGAGCTTGTAAATCTCGAGGCTGCGTTTAGAAAGCCTGATCGATCCCCTTAAGCAGAGCTGTCTTCCGTAAACCGAACAGTTCCAGTTGCCCAGGCTGGAGATACTGTGAGACTCACATCTGTTTTCTTCTCTTTCTTCCTCCTTTCCTTCTCCCACTCCTCCCTCCGCCCCCCTCGCTCTTCACACACACAGTGTTTTCTGTGACCCGTCAGGAGGCTGGAAACGCTGGCACTCGCCTGTTGTTTCCCAGAGGAGCGCCCATGTTTTTTTCATCCTGTGCTTTTCCAAGCCCCGCCTTCCCCAGCCGCGGTGAAGCGGGGAGTGAGGCGTTTCCGGGGCCTCTTCAGGGAACCCCAGCCTCCGGGGGTCGTCCCTCCCTCCAGAGCCTCTTCTTTAAGCCGAAGCGAAAGGCCGTGAAGAGCAGAGCCCAGCTGGTATGTGCCCCTTCCATCCTGAACTGCCCGGGCCGAGGCCTCCCTGGGCTGGCATCCCCTGAGCTCTGACAGGCGTCAGGCTGGGTTCCGCTCAGGTGCTGCCCCAGGATGGGGCTCTGTTCCCTGACAGGCACATACGGACCGCACACCATCACTGTCTCTCTCTCCCTTCCTCCGTCCTCGGTGTTTCTCTCTCCCTCCCTGGCTCTCACTCTAAAAATCAATTTAATAATAAAAAGAAATTCTCAGGTGAGGATAAAAAAATAAAATGATCAACTCTCAGGCGGTGACTGTGCAGCCAGATTAAGGAGA